CGTTATAATTTGATAATAAATAAATATTGATAAATAGCATATAAATTGATATATATCGATAATTTTCAATTGATAAATATCAATTAACTGCTATTTATTAATTCATAACCTATAAAAAAGTTTCCTGATGGTTATCATCTATTCTCTTGTATCTTGTATTATTACTTTTCTTTTTACTCTTTTCTTTTCTTTCAACATAGTTCAACCAAAATAATAGGTAATTGTTAAATTTTATTGGTTTTGTTTGTGCTGCATTTATTTCTTCCTTTGTTGCAAATATTATTATTGCTGATCTTCTCTAATTTTCATTTTGTTGAATGAAATATATACTGATTTTGCTCTTCTTTTCTTCAAGCATTATAATAGTAATATTTCTGATGCATTACTTGAAAGTTCTAAAATTTTTGCTGTAAATCAGTTTTATGAATTGCATTTGTTAAAGTCTTCTTTACCTATGTTTACTCTTGCTAGTCTATGTATGCTGATTGGTAAGAACATGGTACATTTTCTTCTTTTATATTTTCCACCCTAACTACAGTTAAAGCTTTATATTTGGATCTTCTAATGCATTTAACTTGAGTTTTTTTGAGGTTTCTACACATGTATTCTACTTCTTCTATATTAATATTTACTGATAGATCCCATATTGTTAGGTATATATATGGCTTTGATTTATCTTTTCTAGTTATACATTTTTATCATCTTCCTTTTCATTAGATTTCTTGTATTCTTTGGGTTTATTCTTGTCTATTCTACTGTTGTTTACTGTATGGCAGCTCAGTTTCTTTTCTTGACTTTTCAATTTTTCTGGAATTAGTTTAAGCCAATTCCTTTCTTTTTCTTTGATTCTATCTATTACTACATCTCTACTGAATTCATAGTCAAAATTTACCTTAATTCAACTGTTTCTGTTTTTGAAGACCTCTTTAATTGTTTTAATATGATGATTACTATATAGGATCCATTGTGTATATTTTAGGCTTTCTTCTTTATTTGTACCTGGTATTGCATATATTGGCATATTTGCTTTGAATGATTTGCTTTTGTCAAATATATGATTTGTTGAAGACTACTGGCTCTGTTCTATTGTGTTTACAAGTATTAGCATTTCATAATTTTTTTCTGTTATTAACCTTATATTCTTTTTATTTTTATCTATTGTTTTTTTTCTTTCTGTTTGTTGTAGAAAATCTGATACAATTGGTTCTCTATATGATGATATTGATATGCTAAGATCTTGCATTTGGTTGATGACTATATTTAGGTTTGTGCTAACTTCTTTATCACTACTTATTTCATATTGTTGTCTCTTCTTTTCAACATAAGCTATATCCATGTTTTTTATATTTTCATCTCTTTCTATTCCTTCTATTTCTGCTTCTTCTTTTGGGATTTCTTCACTTTTCATATTCAATAAGTAGTTAAATGATTTTGGGTTTTGATCTACTGCTAAAAGCTTATCTGCTCATTCTTCTATCGTGTTTCTTGTTAATGAAAAGGTCTCTGCTCTTTTGAGTACTTCAAGTACTTGTCTATAAAGAAATACATCACCTATTGTGATATTTTTTGGATTATAAATTACAAGATCTTTTGCTATATACTCTAAATTACTAGAATTATCTATTTTCTTTGATAAGATTTCATCTAATATTCTGCTGTCTATATATCTTCTATTTCTATTGTTAAAACCTCTTATATGTTGTATTAATTTTGTATTGCCTAGAAGGCCTAGTCTGCATTGTACTTCTGTTTTTATTTTAGTTTATTGTTTTTCCATTTGCTTAGCAATATATGTAAAAACTTTTATCTATTATTTCCTAATTAGAATAGTATTGTTATTTGTGTAGTATATTGTGTTTGTTATTATTTTGTTGTCAGCTGATCACATGTTCTGACTGTTTGTTTTTAGAGTCTAAGGTGATTTTTATTTTTTTAAAAATAATATCAAAATTTTGCAAACTTTTCAAGTCAGATTAAAACTAATTAATAAACTTATTGAAGAATGCTGTATCTATATTGACATATTGATAAAAAGCTTATATTTCTTTATGCTAAACCTTTCTTTGATAGTTTTATGTAAGTTTATTCAATCTGTTTTGTTCTATTTCTATATACTAATTTTGCTTATTAAAATTCACTGAAGATTGGTTTTCTTGTTGTTGCTTGTTGCTGCTCTAATTTATTTCTTGTTTCTAAGTTGATTAGCTGTATCTCTATGTTTTCTATCTTTTTCTTTAGTGTTCTATGTATTACTTGCTTGTGCATTTTAATATTATTTTATGTTTTTGCTTACTGTAAATTTCAGTCGAGAGATCTACATTAATAAACTTTTGTATATATAATTTTAAAATACTTGTTCCTATTCTTAATTTATTTATAAATATAAACATTTGTATGAAAGACATTATTTACATTACTTAGTTATGTTATTTTAAAAATATGCTACATAATTTAATAATTAGATATAACTAAGTAATGTAAATATTTCTATATCTATAATGAACATTTTATTTTAAATTTTTTTAATTAATTTATGAAGATTTCAGAGCTAAATATCTAATGAGTTAAGTGATGTATTTTTTCGAAATAAATAATTTACAAGTCCTATTTTATTTTAAGTGAAGCTTATTTATAGTATGATGCTTTTACTCGTATACTGTAATAAATTCTTGAACTTGACATAGATATGGTTAATACCTATTACAATGACATTATCAAACAAAAAGTTTATGGATTTCATAATTTAAACACTCGTTCTAATTAAAACCTACAATTATTATTATTTTTTACTAATAATCATTTAATATATTTTACTCATAATTATTTAATTTATTTATAAATTAAAACTTTCACGATTACGCGATTACAGGTAAATTTAAAGCCAGTATTACTTAAATTTTTTTTTAATTTATTTGTTTATAAATTAAAGCTTTCACGATTACACAATTGCAAGTAAATTTAAAGCCGGTATTACAAATTTTTCATCAATTCTTATTTATTTATCCCTTAAAACATCAATTTAACTATGTATCTAATATGATTTAGACTACAATTTGATAGCTTAATCACAGATCAATCATGAAATTTCCAGGCAAATTTGCCTGGAAAACGGTTTAAGAGATAAATTAAAACTTTCATGATTATGCGAATTTAAAGCCAGTGTTACAAAATTCTTTGTCAATTTTATTACTTCATTTTTTCATAATAATAGTTATGATTGATATTGACATTAGTAAATTATTTCAAGATATTGAAACTGACCCTTTGTATATTTAACGCTAATGATACAATATACAGTATATTGGTGGCGATATTACTGGTATGTTCTAATAATAAAAAAACTCGCTTGAGTATGTTCTAATAATAAAAAAAACCTCACTAGAGATTGCTAATGTTAACCATTCTATATAACGAATAAATTACCAGTAACAGTATTGTGTTCTAAGAATAAATAGTTCATATAATATTTCATAAAAGATGTTCAATTAATATCTCCAAATAACGCTATTTTATTGGCTGATTTTGTTGATCATCGGAGAATTCCAAAAAAGAAAATTTGAAATACGGTTCGGTAATATTAGATACCAAATTTCAGCGTCTTCCCCGACATTTAATATTCCGCAGGTTCAGACCTAGTTTTCATAATAAAATCCCCTGTAGTTACTAGAATAGGTTTATGTAGTACGAAATTGGTTAATAAAAAAATTTTCCATTATCTGTTATACCATTACTGTTTACGTAATTTCCAAGTGAAGTATAATTTCAACTTTTATAACATACGAGCATGTCAAACAATCCAACGGTAACGCTGTAAGTCATATTGCGTGCCTTTTTTCATGTTTTTATATTTTATTGAAAATTCGTTTCCCAGTATAGCTAATAATCAAGTTCTCGTCTAATGAAACGCGTACCTATCAATTAATCCACAATTCGTTGTTCTAATCAGATATCCTTTAAGTAGGTTTCTGAATAAATTATTTAGCATTTTTGTTTTAAAGTATTCCTTTTTCAGAACACTTGACGAGCTTAAACAAAAATTTTCGCAGTAAATTATACCTTCGGTACCAAAGACGCACAACCGGAAGAAGATCCTTCAGTGGCAGCACGTTTAGCGCGTTTACAAAATGATTACGCGGTAACTGGTATGAGACGGACTGTTGAGGGTGTGTTGGTGGTACATGAGCATAATCATCCTCATGTGTTAATGTTACAAATTGCAAATTCTTTTTTTAAACTGTAAGTTAAAGATTAGATTTGATTCAATTCATAATGCTACTTTGATTTCTCATCATTTTAATAATAAATAGGCCTGGCGATTATTTAAAACCTGGTGAGGATGAGATTGAAGGTTTAAAAGCCAGGCTAGATGAACGCTTGACGCCTGTTGTTACTGGATACAATAATACTTCGACTAATCAAGACTGGGAAATTGGTGAATGCTTGAGTGTATGGTGGCGACCAAATTTTGAGACTTTTATGGTATGATAAGAAAAAATCAAGATTATGATTAAAATGTTATTTACAACATATTCACTGTTTGCATTACATTAAATAGTATCCGTATACTCCAGCACACGTAACAAAACCGAAGGAGCAAAAAAAGATCTTTTTAGTTCACCTTCCTGAAAAGAGTACTTTTATTATAATATTTATTATTTTTCTTTTTTAATATTTAACATTGTACATTAACAATTTCTTGTCGCATTCTCACCCAGAGATCCTGTCTGTTCCTAAAAATATGAAATTACTTGCTGTTCCATTATTTGAACTCTATGATAATGCACAACGTTATGGTCCACAATTGTCAGCCATTCCGCATTTACTTAGCAGATTTAATTTTATATATGAAAAATAAGAAAATTATATAATTTTAATAGGTAAGATATTTTCTGTATTTTTTAAATGGTCAATAGATGCGAAATTTTAGATTTTTAGTAATCTATCTTTAGATTTTCCATAGGATAGAAATAGGTAAATACTTTATATAAAAACAAATTACCTTACTGTAGACTTTTGAGACAAACGTTAAAAGGATATTTTAGTCCAATTAAAGTCATATGCCCTGATAACTGTTTGGATATTTAAAAGGATTAAATTACATGATTACAAAAGTTCTGATATGATCTTTTCATATTACTCTTTTTTTGACTTTCTTCGTTTTCTTTTCTTTTTCTTTACTGAATTTTCTTCATGCGGTTTTAATTGATTTGAAGTTTTGTCATGTTCAATATCTTCTTCAATGTCGATTGGATGTTTCCGCTTTTTATCGTCCAACTCCTAACAGGAAAATGTAAATTAAATATACAAAATAAATAGATCACTTTGATTTATGCATTATACCTTAGGCTCTATGAAATCATCGTTAGATAATTCCTTTTTGTTAACTTGTGTTTTGAGAGGTGATGGCAAAAGTTTTTTCTTACAACTTAAGGGGTTAGGTTGTTTAGGTCCTTTATGAACTTTTCTTGGTTTCTGAGGTTCAACATTCTTTTTTTGTGTATCAGAATTTGCATTTCTCAAAAAGCTTAGTTCCTCAACTGAGGCATGAGTTTTTGTAATTTCTGTCTTTATTTTAGTGAACACCAAAAGATATGTTATGACTAATGAAACTAAAAAGGAGGTAGTTTAATTGTCACATATCATGATACATAAAAAACTTGCATAAATTGATTTTTTAATAGTCACAATACGCGGCAATTAAAGCAAACCAATCACTAACCGATCATATTACGAAAATGCCAATAATTACTTGTTTGGCCTTATCTAATGTAGCACCTGATGGTGGTTCAACAATTAATACAGTTCTATTAATATACAACAGTGGAACTCCAGCAATAACGCGAAATTGCCGGCGAAGCGTTTCATTTTGCGTTGCCACACAATAATTGTGAGGATTATCATTTCCTATGTTTTTTGTGAAGACATTATATAATTACCCTTTCGTAAATATGAAAATATGTGGCAAGACAATTGATTTTATTAATACCTATGATTGAAGCCAAACATTCAGCACTAGAAACCGGTTTTCTGTGTGGGCATCTTCGTCTTTCAAATTGTTTCAAAGCTAATTCTGTCTCTAGACCATCTTTGCCTTGCTTTTTTACTTCAGCCAGAGTGCATGAAGTATACACTAATCAAATGAAAAAAAAACCATTAATAAATAATGAGTAATATTTTTTAAAAAGTTGAAAAAATGCTAATGCATACTTTGTTTCGTATTTCCAAGCAATACCATACAAAGTTGCTTGCATATGTCCATTTTGTATCGTATGGCGGTTTGCATAAAATTCCCGTCCACTTTTCAAAAAGCCATAAGAATTATAGTCCAAATAGTTTATAGATAAATATTTCAATTCATAAAGTGTTAGATACCTAAAATTTGATAAGGCTCTCTAAAACCGAATGACATTGAATATAACGCCATAAGGCGTTTATATTGTTTTGTCCGTTTCGGTCTCATGCTTTGTTTCAAAAAAAATAAGATATATTTTAAAGTTATCAGTATCGTTATCAAACATATGGAAATCCATCTGATTGGTTATCGATTTCATACTATCAGTCAGATAGTAATGTTTTAAGGTAGGGATGTTATCTACTTGTCCGAACCCCGAACTAGTTAAACTCGTGTTCGGTGATCATGTGATTTTTATTATGTTATTTGAACTCTATGCTCAAATCGAGTTTGAAATCGATTAGATAGCAAAAGTGCGTGATTTAACTTTAGACTTTTAATACCGTCATTGACGAATCATAGTTGCTTTCGATTGGTTAATTATTATGGCATTGCGTTGATATGACGAAAATTAGCTCTTTTAATTAAAAGTTAATTACGACATTGCGTTGATAAGAAAAATTGGCTTTTTTTTTAATTATTGCTCATGAACGATTCACATATTTTTAACAGGAGGAAACGTTGATGTTACACGATTGATTTTACACACGGAGTGAAACACCTAAAAAAATTTTTTTACAATCTTGATCAGTCAGCTAGTAGATGTTATTTTATTTTTTATTTTTTTAAAACTTTGGCAGTCACGCTAGTACTTTATTAAGATTCTTGCAATTACTACAATTACATAGTTTTACCTAACAAACAAGTCTAGCATCACCTGGCTACCTTAATGGTGCCTAAGTGCAACTTGTCACATTACTTCAAACAGAAGTAAATCGTTTGTCAGACTATTTAAAGTTCATAATGAGATGATTTTCTTCTTTTCATGACAAGTTTTAATATTATCTTCCTAGATTCATTTTTTTTCTTTTTTAATTATCAAACAAGAGGATTTTAAAATCCTTGCCTAAAGAACAACAAGATATACAAAAGAAAAACTAAAAAGGTATAAAAAAGAAGAGACTAACTACAAAACTTAAATGTAAACCAAAAGAAAAAAAAAGAAAAAGATAAAAAAAAGAAAAACAAAAAAAAAACAAAAAACATGAAAGCACTATTATTGCCTATACTTGGTTTTAAAAATTCTATATAATACTAAATAAAGAATATCTCACATTTACTTTATCTTTATATTATAATATATTTTATTTGTCATATGGGAAGAATGATCGAAGTTTTTATTTTCTTCTTGAGTTTGACACATGTTGTCCATTATAGGTCTGATACTCATAGCATAATTTTCTTATGACTAATGTTACTGATTTGGAAAAATAAACAATATTGAATCTTTGGAAAAGATATGTCAGATTTCCTACTTTTTGGTAAAAATTTTGAGAAAAAAATCCAGTAATGAGAACAGAAAGAAAAACCAACTTGAAAATGAGTTGTAAGAGTTATGCTATATAGAATATTATATTGAACCAAGTAATTATTTAAAACTAAATCCTTATAGCACTTAATAAAGCTCTAAAGCTTATCTACTATTTTTTTACTTGGTAGTACTTGTGTTTTACCAAGTAACTTCTTTTACAAGGGTTCGAATCTTTTTCAGCTCTTTTTAGTTACAACCAAGCATGCAGTAAATAGACTTCCTAGTTACTCTAAAGTAGAGTTTGTTATATTTAAATATAATAATTATATAGTTTTTGTAGATCAGACTTTTGGAAAAAGTTGGTGTAAGGGATTATCGAAAAGAGTTGGTAAAAAATATATGTAACTGATTCACTAGTAAATGTTATGATTATAATTTAATACTATTTTTATTATAATAAAAATAGTGTTGGATTATAATCATAACATCTACTAGCTAACTGATCAAAATTATTCAAGTATTGTAAAAAAATTTTTTTATGTGTTTCACACCATGTGTAAAATTAATTATATAACAGCAATGTTTCCTCTTGTTCATATTTTTATTTCATAAAATGGATAAATAAAGCATATTTGATTCATTTATTAACTCTATTAAACTTACTTTTTTGATCTTTCAAAATATACTTGATTCTAAGACACTTTTAGAAATAACTAACTATTCTTTAAAATAAATAAAATCAGATCCTTTTTGGAATAAACTTAATGAAACTACCAATAAGTAGCAATATAAATATTATGATAAATCATATTTATTAAATACTAGTCTTTCAACTATTAAGTTATATTTTAGATATAATCATGTAAAGTAATATAATAAAACATTGAGTCTTATAATATTAATAAGATTTTTTTTTTATCTTTGATAGTCACAATGGTTAACCAATTAGAAGTTTATTTATAAATGTTTAGTACAGACAATATACAAATAAAATTATATCTAACTTTATATGTTATCATTACATGATTATCTCAATTAGTACTTATGAGTGACCTGTCACATCAGATCTACTAAAGTCTGAATCAAGCTCATCTGTCTGCTGCTTTACAATTGAATAGCATCAATTTGATACTATTCATTTATAAAAAAATAAAAAATCAAAAAAATTTTTTTGTTAAAAAAAAATATATTAAATAAAAAGATATATAGAGGAAAAATGTAAAAAATAAATATTAAGAAATAAAAAAAAAAGTGATTGCTAATAAAGACCAGACAAATAGTCACTAATTATAAAGACTATATCAAACTACTAAAAATTATATGTTATTAAATACAGTAATCTTTATTTTAATTATATCTAATTAACATATTTAATACTAAAGCTTATATTCTAAGAGAAACAATTTAACCAAAACTGAACTAGTAGAGAATTTTTTATATGCCAGATGTCCTGATTTCTTATCATTGAATCCATTTTATATATAACTTATTATAGGTTTCACCAGATTTTATATTTCGATACTTGTCATATTTTCAACCAATTATCTTATCTTTTGTCAAAAATCACCAATTTCATCTTATTATTGTATTTTTCCAAGATATGTATACTTGTACTTTATCTGCAACATGGATCTTTTTTGAATAAAACTGATAAATAATTCTAATTTAGAAGGATTAACAATATTGATTTCGATGGGAGTAAGCTAAATTGCCTATTTTTTAATAAAAATTTTTTGAAAAAAAGTGTAAAAGAAAATTTTAAAATACCAACTATAATGAGTATAGAAGTTTACATTATACAGAATAACATATCTAACCAGGCTTCTATCTTTGCTGCTACTCAGATAGAGCTTGACAAAAACTTTCTTGATTATATATAGTTAATATTACTTTTTCAATAACTCTATAGATTTCTACCAAAAGGCCAAATCCACAAAGAACTGTCTTTTTTAACTCTTTTTCATATTGCCTACATATAATCTGAAACTCTTAAACTTAGATACTATATAGTGAAGTTTTGTTGTATATAAACATACTAACTATATAATTTTCGTAGATTAGTATGTATAAAAAAATTGGTGCAGAAGATTATCAAAAAGAGTTATATTTTTGATAAAATGTAATAAAATTTTAAAAATTTGTCAATATCTTTTAAAATAAATTATCACAGACTAACAAGTTTTTATTATTATTTTTTTTTAAAATATTAAGATAAATATTTGCAACTCAGGATTTTATTGATAATATATTTAGTTAATAATTGCATTACAACTATAAGGGCAATCATGAAAAGAGTATACAATTAGTCACTTGTACAACTTTAGTTATTGTCTAATTTAAGTAGTCTGTTTGGAGGTTCTACATTAGCTATTATACCTAAAACCTGCTTGTAGATTCTCTATTTAACTACTCTAGTTTTCATATTTACCTATCTATCTCTGCTTACCAATGATCTTGGCTAATACTAATAAAAATATATCATAGTTACTAAGTCTTTAAAGTAGTTTTTTGGAATCTTTAATCTTGTACTAAACCTTTCAGAATCTTATATATCTCATTTTTACAGCTAACTTGGTATTGCTATAGCTAAGACTAATATTAGCAGTTAGAGCATATTATTAAACCACTATGTCCTTGTAAAGTTCATCTTAACTCTAGTACTTATTTTACAACATATCCCTACTACTTTGGTATTCAATTCAAGTTCCACCAAGCTGCCATGTTAAATAGTCTAAAAAGATAGATTATAACCATACCTCTGGTTTATATATTTGCTAACATGTACCCTTTTCTTCTGAAATCTGAAAATTCTAGCAGTCTGATTGGTTCATCTGATTCTTCTTCAAAGACCAGTACATTTGTTTGATTTTATAAGTTCTAGCTCTGTTTTATAGGTTTAGTTTTTACAATAATACTGTTAATAGTTCAGATTATCTTTCTATTCAAGTCTTTCAAATAAACTTTCATTTTCTTTCTTTTGGTTCTTATAATTTACATAGCTATGAGAACTTATTATAGGTTTGTATTGCCTAATATCAGTTTGTATTTCTTTGTGTAATCACAGACCTTGTCCCAAAAGATAATGTCATATAACTGTTATACAAATTTCATATAATCTGCCAGTCATACTGATATAATACAGATAGCAGATATCTTATCTTAACCAATTGTGAAAGACAGTTAATTGTAATACAGGAAAGATTTTCAAATTTTCTATTGACACTAGAATTTGAACTCTGAACCTGCTACTTGGAAGTTGACAACCTGATCACTTCATTAGGTCATCATATATCTGTTTTTTTTATTATTAAAAACATGACTTTTCAACAATTTATTAATCAATTAATCTAATAATATTGTATTTTATCAAGACAATTTATTACATAAAACCATTTAAAAGGGTGTGGATCCCATAGCTTAGTGGTTAAGCTCCCATGCCCCCACAGTCAAGGTCAATGATTCAAGTCCGGCTGGAGGCAAAAACTAAAAGATTTTAGCCTCTGTAACCCAATAAGGAGTCAGTAATTGAATGCGAAGCCCTGTGGTT